TTTTTCCAGAACCAGGGATTGAACTCAGGCCCTTGTGCTTGCCAGCGAAGCACTTATTCTACTGAGTCATCTCCCTGGCCCCTCAGCAAATATAGTTAAAAGTTACTAAATTATATATTTATTTGGTACAGGGTCTTGCTACATAGCTCAGGCTTGTACTGATCTTCCTGGTTCAGCCTCTCCAGTGCTGGAATTACAGGCATGTGCCAACATATCTGGTTTTAAATTATATATTTAAAAATGATAACGTTAGCTAGTTGTGGGGTCATGCCTATATAGATCCCAGCACTCATCACAAATTGAAACCCAGCCTGAGTAATCTAGGGAGAACCTGTCTCAGAAAATAAAGATGTAGGCCAGGAGATAGCTCAAGGAATAAGTGTTTGCCTGGCAAATGCAAGGTCCCAAGTTTGATCCCTGGTACCACCAATAAAAAATAGAAATGAAAAGATGTGGTGGCCAGCCTGAACTACACAGCAAAACCCTTTCTCAAAAAGGGGAGGTGAGGGATGTACCCCAGAGTGAAGGCCCTGGGTTCAATCCCCAAATTGAAAAGGACAAAAAAGGCAATGTACATGTAAATGTACATAATTTTTGTGTGTAGGTATTTAGCACAACATCACAACTTTTGTATTTTTTTTGCGGTCCCAGGGATCAAACTAGGGACACTGCGTTTGCCAGGCAGGCACTTACGCCTGCTGAGCTATCTCCCTGGCCCTTGTTTGTTTTCTTGAGACAGTCTCACTATGTGGTTCAAGTTGGGCTTGAACTCACTATGTAGCCCAGGCTGGACTCAAACTCACAGGGATCCTCCTGCCTCAGCTTCCTAAATGCTGGGATAGCAGGCTTGCATCACCATGCCTGGGCTAACATTTGTAATATTACCGCAGTTCAATAAATGTACATGGGGCCGGGGAGATGGCTCAGTAGAAAAGCACTTGCCTGGCAAGCTCAAGGGCCTGAGTTCAATCCCCGGTTCTGCCAAGATTAAAAAAAAGTACATAATTAACTTTCTAAATTGTGCTCAGCGGCTCACTGAGATTGGATCTCACAAGGCTGGCCTCAACCTCTCCATCTTCCTGCTTCAGGCTTTACTTTCTCAACTTCTGGCGTTACAGGAGTGAGCTATCACACCTATCATTAACTTTTTTTTTTTTCCCGGAACCGGGGATTGAACTCAGGACCTTGAGCTTGCCAGGCAAGCACTTATTCTACTGAGCCATCACCCCGGCCCCTAACTTTTTTTTTTTTTAGCCAGGTTCTTGCTGTGTAGTTCATGTGGACCTTGAACTCACTATGCAGCCCAGGCTGGATTCAAACACGCGGTGATGCTCTCACCTCAGCTCTCGAGTGCTGTAATAAAACAGGCATGCATGCCAGGCGAGGCTAGTTTTTTGTTTTTTTTTTTTTTTGTATTTTAGGGAATGGTCTACAGGGTGCTCAGGGTCTCACTACTAGATCTGACTCATAGTGATCTGCCTGTTTACAGCCTCCCAAGAGCTGGGATTACAGGTTTACAGGCGCATGCCACCACTCCTAGTCTCAACTGCCATCTCAGCGCGCCCTGGTGCAGGGCCGGTAGGGCCGGAGGATCGAATCCCTGGCCTCTATGCCTGCTTATCCGCGAGTTTTGAACACAGGTGTGACTTCAGATAGCTCTTTCCAGGACACTACACTATCACTCATCCATGGCTAAGTGTGCACATGAAGTCCTCTGTCAGTGCATACGAATTACAGTGTTTGACTCGAGGGTGTCCCCGTGGGTGTACGATGATGCTTCCTTCCCTATCCCCCCCCCAAGCTGTGAGCTCCTTGGGGTGACTCACTACCCCCAAGAGCTGCTCCTAATGATATCCAGGAATCCCCTCACCCTCAAGAGAGCCTCTAATGATGCCCACGCTCTCCCTCGCTGCCCCAAGAGCGGCTCCCTCAGTGTAAAACTACTTCGTAATGACCTTAAGAAAGAGCTTCCCTCCGGTAGCTCTAACGACCCCCGGGGCTCCTCTCTTGAGGGAGCTGCTGCTTTCACGTACTGGCCTTACTCGTTGGCTGCCGAGGGCGCTCCACCCTCGTAGGCCTTTTGTTTTAAAAACCGAGACTATCCTGGGCCAACCGGGACAAGATGGCCCCCTTCTCAGGACTTCTGGACTCTGAAAGCTTCCAAAAAGACCCCCATCATCTTTTCATCTCAGGAAAACAGGCTACTCACCCCAAGAAAACTCGGACCCCACTTTGGTAAGACCTCGCAAGAAAACCTCCCAGCCCTGACCCACCTATTCGACCAGCCTACTTCTGGGTCCTCGCCTCTTTCAACCTTGATTGGGTACAAGAGCCTGAAGCCCATTTATGATTGGCCAGCTCTGCGATTCAGCGCCGACGCTCAGTGGCCGTGGTCCCCTGTGGTACAGCGTTTCCTCCTGGCAACAACCCCTGCCGGCTTTCATAGGCTGATCAGCTCGTACGCCTGCAGTTTGGGGCGGTTGCAGGGCGTACTCATTGGCTGTTTGAGAGCTTTCGGCCACATTTGGATTGGTTGACTCTGCGGGACCCTGTGCGGTTGCGCAGGGGCTGACTCTCTAGGAGGCGGAGTTTCGTCTTCTCGGCTGGTGGAAAAGCTGGAGGATCGGCTAGTGGCGACAGCAGAAAACGAGCCTGAGCCCTGCTGGGGCTTTGGGCTTTAGGTGAGAAACACTGGGATTTGTATTCTTTTTAGATTTTTTGTTGCACCCTTGAGCGTGAGCTTTGTTGGGGGAGGGGCAGTGGGGGGGTGTGGGTTTTTATGTCAAGTGATCGGCGTGTATGTGGACGAATGGGAGAAAGAATTTATAGAGTCAGTTCTGGGGTTGGTTCTTTCTAATCTCTTTGTGGCCAATGGACGTCGGGGAGGGGGGCGGGTCCATTGGGCCTTATTTTCTTCTTCCTGCCGCCGGCCCCCACTCGCCCGGGCGGCGGGGCCGAGAGGGGCTTGGTCTTTATGCGGTGAGGTTCCAGGACCTTGGGAAATCGGGCTGCCTTTGAAGGGATACGCGCGGTAGCCGCTACCTGGGGTGGGTGCAGGAGTTCGAGGTAGTTGTTAGTAGCAGCTGCCTTTATGGGATGGTTAAGCACTGGGCCTAGTGCTTAGCGTTTCGCTTGCATCATTTGAGTTAATCATAGCAACCGTGTAAGACAGGGGGTTGGGATCCCCATTTTACAGGTGGAGAAACTGAGACTCAACCAGCTCACACAGGCAAGGTCATTCAGTTAATAAGTAGCGAAGACCGGCTCTACATTCAAAGTTCTGACCGTGGAATCGGTGTTCTTGAACCACTCGGCTTTGTTGGTGGGTGCGGAAGAGGTGACATGGGCCCGGAGCTTTCCCTGTGGAATAGGCCGGGGGAAGGGAGGCCTAGGGGTCGAGGGAGGGGGTAACAACTGAGGCGAGGGTGAGGAAATCAGTTACTCAACAGTTACTGAGTGCTTACTCTGCCCTGCATTGTTCTGGGTTCTGTGCGCACAAAGATGAATAGAGCTAGAGGCGAATGACGCTCCATCTCGCCCCTTAAACAACCCGGGGTTGGGGGACTCCATCCTCTATCCACATGATGGTACGTTTTTATAAAACTTACAAAGAGGATGTTTTGAATTTTTTAAACAGCCCCCCCCCCCCGCCCCGTGATTAAACTTCAGGTTCCTCCACACTTGGATATGCCCTCGCAAAAGACAAGGTTCAAGTGGAGATAAAGATTTAGGCAACGTGGAGTGATGCAAAGTGCACTAGGGGTCTATTTCCTGGTATGTAAAACAGTAGTAATAGGGTACCTGCCATGCAAAGTTCATGAAAAGCACCTGGGCAGAAATGACGTTATTTTGGGTGGAATGGAAGCCCGGGAGTTGTGGGAAGTGGGCTTTGTCTGACACTTTTGCTCCAGGCTATCACCCAGGTGGGTGAGTAGAGCGTCATTGGACTGAGGGCAGTTTCCTCCCAGGGAGCTTGGACTGCGCTGGGCCCCAGCCCTGCCGCTGTGCCCTTGGTGAGGGGCTTCAGTAAAGGAAAGGACCTTCTGAATGGTCTGCCCTCGGTTGACGTGTGCTTCTCTTTTTCTTTTTCCTTTTCTTATTCTTTCTTTCGAGATGGTTTCACAACGCAGTGCAGGCTGGCCTGGAGCTCACTTTGTAGCCCAGGGTGGCCTCAAAGGAATCAATCCTCCTGCCTCAGTCTCCAGAGTGCTCAGATTACGGGCAGCCCCCCCCCCCCCACTAATGCTTTATCCCTTTTCAGTTGCGGCAGTGATGGTGAACCTGTTAGAGCGTTCAGTGATACAGACTACCTTGGGATATGTGCCAGAGGTTCACCACCACTGGTCTATTATGTTATTAAGCAGTGGGTGTATGATGGAGTTCCCTTTCTTTAAAAATCAGGTACTGTATTTGTTTTGCTCTCTGCAGGCCAGTTATGAAGTTTGCCCTGTATTGCCAGTTTATTGCCTATTTAAATTTTGTCCTTTTGATTTATGGGTACAGTGCAAATCAACTTGTTTGAATACTGCTGAAATTGTACTTTTATTTTAGATAAGAGTTTCACTATAGGGTTTTACAATTGTGCTGGGTAATCCCAGCACTCAGGAAGCTGAGGCAGGGGAACTGCTGTGAATTGCAGGCCAGCCTGGAGTATACAGCCAGACACAGGGAGACTGTCCTAAAAACAAAAACAAAAACAAAACAGTTTAAAGTCATTCTAACATCGAATGCTTTTTAAAATTTTTTTTTTTTATTTATTTTTTGAGACAGGGTCTTATATATTGTTCAAGTTGTCCTTGAATTTACTATATAGCTCACATTGGCCTTGAAGTCACAGTGATCTCCAGCATTAATTTCCTTTTCTTTTTTGTACTGGGATTCAAACTCATCCCCAGCCCTTCCCTCCTTTGCTGGAATTACAGGCATTTGCCATTATGCCCAGCTACTTTTTAACTCTTAAACTTTGAAATTTTGTAGCCAAGTTTATTTTTAGAATCCTGTTCTAAATCTGTGCGGGAGAAAAGAACACATTGTTTACTTTAAAAATCAGATTGTAGTGTACTATGTTTAATATCTTAAGCAGTTATCAAAGTGTATATAGGAGTAACGTGAAGAAAATCGGGATGCTCATGAGTAGCTGTAGGACCATTTACCTTTTCTTTGTAGCTGAAACAATGTTCTGTTGAATTGAATTTAAATAGGTACAGGTTTAATGCCTCAGATTCTTTTTTTTTTTTCCTCCCTCTTTCTTTCTTTCTTTCTTTCTTTATTTATTTATTTTGTGTTTGTGTGGCCAGCTCAGCCCACCAGGGGGCGGGGCTGGCTGGCATGTGGTACTGGGGAAATTGAACTGTGGTCCCTGTGCTTTGCGTAGTTTAGCTTGTTCTAAGTAGGTGCTTTAGACCACCGAGCCATCTCACCAGCCCCAACCTCAGATTCTTTTGAAGCAGGGGCTTTTGTCCTCTGTTGACTTCTAGTTCATTTAAATAACTTTCCTGGAGGCAGTTTCTAGGTGTGAGGTCTTAATACTTCAGAATTTCTGTGTTCTGTTACTATTTTCAGTGCTGACACTGCCAGCATTCAATTTTAGTAACATTTTGTATAATTTTCTGCTCTTAATGTACTTCTTTAGATTATTCTCTAACCAAAGTGACCTCAGAAAAGAGGGAAAATGGCTTCTGAATCTGAAACCCTGAATCCCAGTGCTCGGATAATGACCTTCTACCCCACCATGGATGAGTTCCGGAACTTCAGTCGATATATTGCTTACATTGAATCTCAAGGTGCTCACAGGGCTGGATTAGCCAAGGTAAGGAGTGGGATTACTTAGTGCCTTTTGCGACCTTGTGGCACTAAGATTTTTCTTCCACCTGAAGTCTAGAACTGCATCTCACTGAAAGTTGGGTGGGACAATGACTTAGTGTGTTCTGTTCATTTGCAAATTAACTCCCGGTTGTTAACATCAAAAAGCATCTCTTCTTTTAGATAAGAGGAAAGGTTCTTGAGCTGGACTTGGTGATACCTGCCTGTAATCCCAGCATTTTAGGAGGCTGAGGCAGGAAGATTGCTGTGAGTTTGAGGCTAGCCTGGACACTGTCTCAAAAGAAAGAGGAAAGCTTCTTAGAATGGCATTGGTGATTTTAATTTTTCACCACATGAATGTGTCACTTATTCAGTATGAAAAAAAAAAAAAAAACCCAAAACACAAGGATATTGATTACATGGCTGAGCACAGTCCTGCATGCAGAGAGCTGCTGCTGGGCTCTCTAGCGCGCAGAGCTGCAAGCCTGCAGGGCAGCTTCTCAGCACTTCTGTTGATTTATTTATACTGTACTAGATGAAAAATTGCACAAAAAATCTTGTTAGAGACGTTCTGTAAAGAGCGATCTTCACCTGCCCTTTCCAGTGTCATCATAAGGTAATCAATGCTACTGGCTCCTTCCGCGCCTTTTGATCTGCTCACATATATACTATCGTTCACATGGAATGTATATTGTAAACTAACACATAGATGCTGTTTTGTTTGTAAGTTCGAATGGATCAGTTGGGCACGGTGCCTGTGCCTATCCTGTGGCATTCGTGAGGCTGAGGCAAGAGAATTGCCTTGAGTTGGAGGCCAGCCCGGGATATAGAGAGAGACCCTGTCTCAAAAAACAAAAAAGTCAGATTAAAGCACCTTCAAGCAGGCGCAGGCGCAGGGGCAGGGGCCTTGGGTTCAGGCCAGGTGTTCTATCCTCTGGCTTGCTGTGCTGGCCCCACCCCTGGGGTGTCCTGAGACAGCGATTGAGACTGGGCATGGTGGGGTGTACCTGGAATCCCAGCTCTTGGGAGGCTGAACACAGGTGGATCACTACGAGTCTGATCTAGTGGTGAGACCCTGAATACCCTGTAGACCCTTCCCTAAAATACAAAAAAAAAAAAAAAAAAAAAAGGGGAGAGAGGATCATGCTGTGTAATCTTATGTTGATTCATTTTGTTTTTCTCATAATAACTTTATTTTTTTAATTTTTAAAGATTTCTTTTCATAATAACTTTTTTTAAAATTAATTTATTTATTTGTGTGTGTAGCCAGCACAGCCCACCAGGGGGCGGGGCTGGCTGGCATGTGGTGTTGGGGGATTGAACTGTGGTCCCTTTGTTTTTGCTAAGTTTGTTCTAAGTAGGTGCTTTAGACCACTGAGCCATCTCACCAGCCCCCATAATAACTTTTTAATTTATTACTCTTGCTATAGAAATATACTTAAAAATGATAGCAGAAGGTAAAGGCTCATAGCACCTCTTTCCCCGTACTTTTGTGTGTATATGAATCTATATATGTACATATAAAAACATGTATATATCTGTTTTTATTCTTTTTTCAAATTTTTGAGATAGGGTCTTTTTTTTTTTTTTTTTTTTTTTTTTTGGCGGAACCAGGGATTGAACTCAGGCCCTTGCGCTTGCCAGGGAAGCACTTACTCTACTAAGCCATCTCCCTGGCCCCGAGATAGGGTCTTGATGTGTAGTTCAGCATGGCCTTGCACTATATAGCTCAGGCTATTGTCATATTCGCAGTGATCCTCCTGCCTCAGACTCCCAAGTGCTGGGATTACAGGCATGTGCTACTATATCCATCTTATTTTTTTTTTCTGTTTGCATAAAATGTAGCATACAGTATTCATTAATTTTTCAAAGAAGCTGTATAGTGTTTCATAGAGTGGATCTACTTTACTTTATTCAGCATTAAGGTTTTTTTTTTTAGACAGAGTCTCACCGTAGTTCAGGCTGGCCTTGAACGCGCAGGGATTCTCCTGCTTCAGCCTCCCATGTGCTGGATTACAGGCATGCCCCATTACAGGAAAGCCCCATAAAGTTAAGGTTTTAAGGGCCAAGGCTTGCCTAGCATGTCTGCCCCTAGCACATCAAAACAAAACAAAAAGGGTTACAAGATTAGGCTTTTTAGGATGTTAAGCTTTTTGGTGCCTTCTCTCAATACCTGCACTCCACTCTTGAGTCCTGTATCTACTTCTAGTAGATCCTTGCTCTGGAGAAAAAAATTAATGTTAAGTTTTTTTACTGCTGCTGGTGTGTGAAAGTTGACCAAGCAGGTAAAACTAGGTTTTGCCTTTTACTTTTTTTTTTTTAAAAAATAGAGCAGTGAACTGTTAGGTGAGAAAGAATCAACTTTTCAACCTGAGAAGATACTGAGGGTGAGAACACATGTTTATTCCAGATGTTAGGCTGTTAGAAACTAGGCTGCTCATTGATAGCAGAACTGGATGAGGATTAGCATGGCAGTGTGGATTTCTGTGTTTGGATTAGCATGTCTCAGTGAAAGTCCCTTTCTAGGAAAATGGACTCTGGCTCAGTAGCCTACACAGTTGTTGAATTCTGGCTTACTGTATTTTTTTCTATTTTTGTGTTCACTGTAAGGTTGTCCCCCCAAAAGAGTGGAAGCCACGAGCATCCTATGATGATATTGATGACCTGGTCATTCCTGCGCCCATCCAGCAGCTGGTGACGGGGCAGTCTGGCCTCTTTACTCAGTACAACATACAGAAGAAAGCCATGACTGTTCGAGAGTTCCGCAAGATTGCCAACAGTGATAAGTGAGTGGAGATACTTCCCTGTCATGGCTTCTAGAGCCTAGTGTCATTTTCAGAGGCATCTCCAAGTCTCCTTTTCTTTCTTTCTTTTTTTTTTTTTTTTTTTGGCGGAACTGGGGATTGAACTCAGATACTTGCATTTGCCAGTCAAGCGTTTAATCCTACTGAGCCATCTCCCCGGCCCCTCTTTTCTTTTGTTTTCTTTTCTTCCTTTCTTTTTTTGGTGGAATTGGGGATTGAACTCAAGCCCTTGCGCTTGCCAGGGAAGCGCTTATTCTACTGAGCCATCTCCCCGGCCCCTGCTTCTTTTCTACTAAAGAACAGTTCCATCAGTTTTATCTTCTGTTCTCCTCCCTTTTTTTTTTCTAATGGTGCTGAGGATTGAACCCAGGGATTTTTGCACTGAGCTATATTAAAGTCACTTTTATTTTATTTTATCTTTGTCTTTTTGACACGGGTTCTCACTATGTAATTCAGGCTGGTTTGAGCTCACTTTGTAGCCCACGCTGGTCTCAGACTCGCAGTGATTCATGTGCTTCACCCTCCTGAGTGTTGGAATTATAGACATGTGCCACCACACCTGGCATCTGAAGTCATTTAAAATTTTTATTTTATTTTATTTTTACTTGAGACAGGTTCTTGCTAAATCACTAAATCACCCAGGCTGGGATCAAACTTGGAATCTGCCTGCCTCGGCCTCTTGGAGCGTAGGTTTATAGTCATGTATTATCAGGCCTGCTGGCTCTTTTGATAGAACCATTTCCTCCTCTCAGATCTATGTTCTAGTATAAACATGTCCTTATTCTTATATAAAAGTAGTTTCAGTATTCCATCAGGAATGGTGATGCATTAAAACCTTAATTCCTTACCTTGTCCTGGTGATTGATGCGGAGCCTCTTGTATGCTGGGGAAGTGCAGTGCCAGGGAGCTGCGCTGCCCGCTTGAAGCAGGATTCATTTTGAATTGGGTGACTTCTGTAATTACACAGGAAAAAGTTGGACATGGTTCAAAAAGATATTTTGCTGGATATGTTGATGTCACCTATCAAAAAGTGGATTTAGTAGTTTGTCTTATCTGGGATTCTGCATCTTTCATCATTGCCACACCGCTGCATGCTTACAGCTGCTGTCTCCTTTCTGGTTTTTTTTTTTTTTTTTTTTTTTTGATGGAACCGGGGATTGAATTCAGGCCCTTGCGCTTGCCAGACAAGCACTTATTCTACCGAGCTCTCTCCCTAGCCCCTCCTTTCTGTTTTTTGTGATCCTGGGGGTTGAACTGAGGAGAGCTCTGCCACTGAGCCACTTTAGCCCCTTTTTATTTTGAGATAGGGCTTTTTTTTTTTTTTTTGGCGGAACCGGGGATTGAACTCAGACCCTTGTGCCTGCTAGGGAAGCCCTTATTCCACTGAGCCATCTCCCCAGCCCCTTGGGCTTTTTTTTTGAGACAGTTCCCTAAATAGAGTAGTTGATATGACCCCCCAAGTAAAGGGAGGAAAAGTTTATTTAAGCTCACAGGTAGTGGAGGTTTCAGTCCATAATCAGCTGGCGCCGAGGCAGGGTGGCAGATGGCAGAGGGCAGCAGTTTATGGTAGTGGAAAACAGCAGGAGCAACAAGGAAAGGGAAAGGGTGAGCCTTTTTCCAGTCCCATCTATTGTATGCAGGCTACCCACCTTACTCAGACCCTTAATCCTTGGACCAGGAATCAGTCACGCACTGTAGATTTGTGAAAAGCCTGTCCCCTATGACCGCAGGCAGCGCTGGGGATATTTAGACCCAAGCTGTAACAGGCTCCCTAAGTTTCTCAGGCTGACTTTGAATTTGCAATCCCCTGCCTTAGCTTCTAGAAGGTAGCTGGGATTATAGTATTATGTCACCATGTCTGTCATTTCTATTTTGATATTAACAAAATGAGGATCAATAACATGCTAATTGTTTTCTATCACCCTATTCTTTTTCATGCTTACAATATTATCTCAAAATTGTCTTTGTTTAGTCCTGTTTTCAATGTTTTGCCTTTGTTGTTTTTAATATTTTGCTCTTAATCCCCATTGTAGACCCACAGTGAATTAATTTTGTGTTTCCTTCATTTGGCTTTGATGCTCCTTTTGTTTGTTTGCTTTGTTTCTGACATGTAGGGGTTTGAACCCAGAGTCTTTCTTTGCCTTGAGCTGCCTTTTCTTTCATCTCCTTTGTAGTTCTGGAGATTGAATCAGGGATCACTGAGCTGCAGCATCAGCACCCGCTTCCCTTTAACTTCATCTTCAGCGTGGTCTTGCCCAGTTGCCCGCACTGGCTTCGGTCCTCCTACCTTCACATCTTGAGAAGCTGGCATTGCAGGCATGCACCACCATACCGTTTTCTTTTTTTTTTTTTTTTGTGGAACTGGGGATTGAATTTAGGCCCTTGCGCTTGCCAGGGAAGCACTTATTCCACTGAGCCATCTCCCCGGCCCCTTCGTTTTCTTTTCCTTTTAAGTTAACCAGCCCTATCTTTGTTCCTTTCACCTTGATACTTTTGGGTTTTTATTGTAGTACTGAGGATTGAACCCAGGGAGGTCCATCTTTAGCACCATACCTTATATAACAGATCAGTTGAAGACGGGAGTTACATTTCAAAGAGAACATGAATTTTGTACTACTTATTTTTCACTAGGTTAATAGTAACATAGAAAGCACTGTTGGGTGTGGTAGTACACACTTATAATCCCAGCACTTGGGAGGCTGAGCCAGGAGGCAAGCCTAGGTAGGGTACATAGGGAGACCCTGTCTCAAATATCAAAAACAAAAGAAACCAACCACACACACATAGGCTGGGGATATGTCAACCTTGGTAGAACATTTGCCTAGCATGCATGAGCCTCTGGGTTTGATTCCCAAAAATAAAGAACAAAATCCAAAAAGTAACACTATATTAAAGATTGCTTTTTCATTCATTCTTATCATCTCTACACCATTTCATATTAGTCTTCATGTCTACTTTTTATCCATTCATAACTTTTTTTCTTTTGCTGTTTTAGTTATAGTATGTATTAGTTTTCCCCATTTTTTTCATGTACCATAAGGTTCGTTTATTACTCTTCAAATGCTGCATAGGCTGGGCCTGGGTACAAGCTTGGAGTTCCAATGCTGAGACTGAAAAATAATGAGTCCAGCCTGGGCGATTTAGGGGAAAGCCTCTTTCAACTGTCTCCCCAAAATGAGTTAGAGATATAGCTGAGTATGAAGCACCTGGGTTCAATCCCCAGTAGGGAGGAGGGAAAAGGTTGCATACTAACTTTTTTTTTTTTTTGGGCGGAACCGGGGATTGAACTCAGCCCCTTGCGCTTGCCAGGGAAGCGCTTATTCCACGGAGCTATCTCCCCGGCCCCAGCATACTAACTTTTAAATGGTGTGAGATTTTAAAAAAATGTTTTGGAATACTCAGTATGTGATTTCTTTTTTTTTTTTGTGGAATTGAACTCATGACCTCATGCTTGCCAGACAAGTGCTATGTACTGAGCTATGTCCCTGGTCCTCAGTATGTGATTATTAAGGACTAGAGATAGGAGTGTAGATATTTTTATGGCTTTAGGTATATATCCTGTATAAATATATTTAAGTACATGTATATTTCCCTAAGTGGAATAGTTCATATGTAAAAATATATTTTTATGTTTTTGGATTATAGTTTTACTGAGATATGTTGTTTTTCTGCAGTGTTTTGTTGATTGTTAGTCACTGCTTAGGGCTTTAGGACTATAGAGGGAGCCTCCGAATGGCTTCGCTCCCACTAGGGCTGTTTGTTACCCAGCTTCTGCTCTACATTTGGGCTGGAAATGTTTTTTTTTTTTTTTTTTTTTTTTGTGGAACTGGGGATATTTGACATCAGGCTCTTGTGCTTGCCAGGGAAGCACTTATTCTACTGAACCATCTCCCTGGCCCCAAAATGGCAGAACGAGTTTTGGGGGAGGGCGGGGCTGCTCAGGATGCCATAAGGGCAGGTCTGGTTTGAGGATGAGGGGATCCAACCACAGCATCCTGAGCTTGACAGCTTTGTTTCAGCAGGCCCTTAAATACCTGAGCTAATGGGCAGGCCCCCTGGAATTGTTTTTTTGATGGTATTTGGGATTCAAATCTCTGTCTCTGTTTATTTTTTATTTTGGGACAGGGTCTCACCAAGTTGCCCAGGCTGGGCTCAAACTTGAGGTCCTTCTGCCTCAGTCTGCGAGAGTGCTGGGATTACAGTTGTGCCTCATGGTGCCCGTTTGATGCTGGCTTGTTGTCTGTGGCTATGTAGGGATTTGGGTCCCTGATGCTCAAATGTTTGTAAGCTCATTTTCTCCCAGTGGGCCAGGCTATGCCTGAAAGTAGCAGGGTGTAATATAAGTAGCCTGTTTTCAGAGGACCCCTAAAGGAGGATGGGTTCAAGTGTGTACCTACAAGTCCTTCCTAGGGCCCCATGTGAGGGATATTACTAGTGGCTTGGAGATCAAGATTGTGTCTGGTTCATTTGAAATGTCTTCTTGCCCCTGGAAAAGGAGATTGCATTTTACATTGTTCATTTTTATGACTTCCCTGTAAGTGGCTAATGCTGCTTTTTACTTTAAAAGGTACTGTACCCCACGCTATAGTGAGTTTGAAGAGCTTGAGCGAAAGTATTGGAAGAACCTCACATTTAATCCTCCCATCTATGGTGCGGATGTGAATGGTACTCTCTATGAAAAGGTAGGCCTCCCTTGAAACCCTCCCAGCTTCACCCCCCACCCCTGCACTTAGTAGGCATTTAAAAGCTTTCTGGTGAATGGCTGAAGGAACAAATGAATGATCTCCCCCTGACTGAGGTGCCTTTACTGACTTAATGGTTGGTGTTTTTGCATGTGACTGCACTTTCTTTCTCGCACTCTGCATGTGAATTGAGTGGTCTCCTGTTCTTTTCAGAGGCTGTGAGCCTGGTCTGTGGGTGGTGGATGATGGAGTGGGTGGGATGGATCTCAGAAGATGAAATGATGGGGAAGAAGCCCTGTGGCTTCTGCAGAGGGGAAAGCATCATCCCTGACTCAGCTAATGAAAGGGATGTATGTTTAAGACATCAGATTGTACTTAGATTTTTCAAAATTCACGCAGGATTCTGTAGCAAAGGTTTTTTACCAAGTGGCTTTGGCCTGGCATGGGTTCTTTTTGGCCCAAAGAACTGCCTCTGTGACAGAGTGGGGGTAGCTGGGTTTGCCTTTGTGTGGTCAGTCAGTCAGTGGGGCATTTCTGGATTATCATGCAGAATAATTTTGGAGCAGAAAGTATTTTGTTTAAATATTTAGAGACAAAATCATGCTAGGTAGCCCAGCCTGGCCTTAAACTCCCAAATAGCTGCCTGCCTCAGCCTCCTGAGTGCTGGGATTATAGCCCTGTGCTGCTGTGACTGGCTGCAAGAATTTATTTACAAATGAAATTTGAAGTTTGTGACAACCATTTTGGGGAACGGTAGGAGTGAAGTTTCTAGGGATGAAGGTTGGGAAGATGCTGTGAAGGTCCACAGACAGGGTCATGCCGAGGGAGGGCACAGGACCCTGGGCCAGCACATAAAATGACAGTGAGGACTTGGCTCTGAGGAAATAGGAATGAGAAAAGCCATGTTATTACCATAGTTAATTCCTATCTTTTCCTTTGTTAGATTTTCTTTTTTTCTTTTTTTTTGTGGAACCGGGGATTGAACTCAGGCCCTTGTGCTTGCCAGGCAAATGCTTATTTTACTGAGCCATCTCCCCGGCCCCTAGATTTTCTTTTAACTTTTAAATAGCCTGAAGATTTCTACTTGAGTTGTTTCTTTAGCTCCTATTCAGTCTTCCTTCTGGGGTTCAGATCGGGTGATCATCCCCTTACTCAGCTTCCCATTTGCAGGTGGTGTTTGTTCGGGGCAGCATTTTCCCCTTTGAGGCATAATGGATCTGTTCCCATTTTAGCTGTGAGAATGATGGGGGTGCTGTGTTGTTGGGGGTGACAGCTCACCCGAGGCCTTCTAGGTGGTGTGCAGATTCAGAGCCTCAGTTTACCCTAAAATGTGACTGCTCCAGCTTGTCCTTCCTCTGCAGCATGTGGATGAATGGAACATTGGCCGGCTGAAGACCATCTTGGACTTGGTGGAAAAGGAGAGTGGGATCACCATTGAGGGTGTGAACACCCCATACTTGTATTTTGGCATGTGGAAGACGTCTTTTGCCTGGCACACGGAAGACATGGACCTGTACAGCATCAACTACCTGCACTTCGGAGAGCCCAAGTCCTGGTAACGTCAGCCGGCCCTTGGCGCTGGCCTTCTTCCCTGGGAAGCACCTCTGTGTGGGTTACAGTGCAGATACTGGTGCATAATTTTTGGGTAGAGCTGGCATCCTGCCCTTGAGATAGGTAATAAGATGGTGTAGGAGCATGGACATGCTTGGAGGAGGAAGGCTTTGAAAAGAGGCGTGCAGCCTGTTGTGCAAAAGCCAGTGTTGCCTGACTTACCAGGAGCCTTGGGACTGTCAGTTGGACTCACTGCTTTTTCTAAATCCCAAGGGATTTTTTTATTTTTGTCTTTATTTATTTATTAATTTTGGGGGGCAGAACCGGGGATTGAACTCAGGCAAGTGCTTATTCTACTGAGCCATCTCCCCAGCCCCTCCAGGGGATTTTTTACAGAGGCTTCATAGACTGAAGTCATTGTTTCTGATGATAGAAAGCTTTCTTTTCTGCATGGAAACCTTTTTTTAATGAGCAGCAGTCTGCTTAACACAGTTGTGGATCCAAGAGACTGCTCAGCAAGTGTTTCCTGTTCTCTGGGATGGTGTGAGTCTTGTGAGACGGATGGTTCTGTTCTCGGCCACACTGCCCTGTCCCCAGTGTTAGCCTTTTACTGAAGGTGCTGGGCCAGCAGTGAGCCAGGCAGATGAAGTCCTCACCTTCCCACCTGGAGGAGACAGGAAGCAGGAAGTTGAGTAGCACAGTGGAGTGCAGGGAAGGCTTTGAAGGGCAAGCAGTGGGTACGGAGGAGGCTGAGGCTGGAGGATTATCTTGAGTTCAAGGCCACGCAGGGTTGCATAGTGAGTTCAAGGCCAGGCTAAACTATATAGTGAGACCCTGTCTCAAAAAACAAAACAAAAGATGAAATGGGAGGGGCCAGGGAGATGGGTCAGTGGAATAAGCACTTCCCTAGCAAGTGCAAGGGTCTGAGTTCAATCCCCAGTTCCGCAAAAAAAAGAAAAAAAAAAAAAAAAAAAATGAAATGGGAGTTTTTGAGCAAGGTTGTCTGATGGGTCTCAGAGCCCTTAAGGTGAGGTGACTTTTCTTCTGTTTTGTTCAACAATGAAGCTGTTTGGGAAGACAGTTTTTTGTTTTGTGTGGGCTTTTACTGTGTTGCCCAGGCTGGCCACCACTTCCTGAGCTCAAGCAGTTCCTCTTGCTTCAGCCTCCCCAGCCCTGGGACCACAGGCATGCACCACTGCACCTGGCCAAAATAACCTTTAGGATGGATTATGAGGGCTAAATGATTCCTGTGTTTCAGAATACAAAGTTGAATAATTTGGAAGAAGTTTTAAATAGTCTAGCTGTTCTCCCATTTTCCCTGTCGTGTTTTATGAAGAGCAGCTTCTGTGATGCCTAGACATCTGGCGGGTGGAGGAGTAATTAATTATTGGGTAATCAGTATAGCTTTCATGCAGATGAGGAAAAAGTGGGTGCAGAGCACATGGGGAGCCAGAGCCCTGGGCCTCTCCTCTGTCTCCACCTTAGTTTGTATGCTTCCTGTAACCTTCCCAGTCAGGTCTTTGGGGTTGCTGGGAACTTTTTTTTTTTTTTTTTAAACAACTGAGGTTATATAAGGGAACTTTGTTCTTTTAAAAATTTTATTACATGAATCCCATAATAGATACTTTTGTATAGTAAATTCTAGCTCATGATGAGTATACAGTAAATGTCTTATTAATTGAGTGAATACAGAAGAAATAAATTCACTCAGGTTTTCTTTTCCTTTCTTTATGGGACGAACTCAGGACCTTCTGCACGATAGGAAAACACTGTGCAACTGAGCTACAGCCCTAGCCTTGTTTTTGGCAGTCTCTGCCATGAGGTGCCCAGAAGGTCCCCAAGGATCATCATTCATTGCTTCTCAAACCTTAGACTCAATCTCTGAATAATTCACAACCACATTGGTGGCTTTGTCTACCAGCTCCTGCACCTTCCATATGTTCAACATCTTGCCCCATGCAGGCCGGGCTGCCTCCTCAGTCTTCTGCTTCCCATGCCCCAGGACACTTTCCTGCCAGGGCAGGTCCAGGCCTGGGTCACTGCTGTCGCCTGCCACATGAACTCCCCAAGTCAGCTCCTTCCCGTGCTACAGCCACTGCGGCGCCCCAGCCTTTTTTTTGGAGGCTGGATCTCACTATGTATTTCAAGCTGGCCTGGAGTTCACTTTGTTTTCTAGGCTGGTCTGAAACTCACACTGATCCTCCTGGTTCAGCCTCCGCTTGGATTATAGGTGTGTGCCACCATGCCTGAAATAATTCACTCAATTTTGCATACTTTTTTTAACTCTTCTGCTGTAGCAGTTTGTTATTACTCAGGATTCCTTTTAGGGGTTGGGAACTTTTTTCTTTTTGAAATTAGTATTGGTACATTTTAGATCTACATAACGATAGCATTCATCTTGGGGCATTTGAACCGTACATGATATATCTTCCCATTTTCTTCCTCTCCCTTCAACTTCTCCTTATTTACAAAAGCTTTGTTTCCTTTTTTCTTGCCCCCACCATTGTTCCCTTGTTCATTTGAACATTTTTCCCATGTTCCAGTATCTGTTATACATTTTGGTCCTTATCTGAGTTTTTGGCTTCTCACACGCAAGAAACAGTGTAGTACTTAAACATGTGTGTCCAGTTCATTTCCCTGAAGAGTATGGTCTCAAGGTTCATCCACTTAGCTAGAAATGTCTCAAGCCTGTCCTTTATGACATAGTATTCCGTTGTATAAACAACTCCCACATGTTTTTTGTCCACTCATTGGTTGATGGGCATTTGGGCTATTTCCAAGATTTAGCTATTATAAACTGCCAGTATAGACATGGTTTTGCATATATCAATGCAGTGTGTTTTTAATTCCTTCAGAAGATAGCTGGGTTGAATGGAATGTCTAGTTTTAGTTTTCTGAGAAACTCCATACTAATTTCCACAGTGGTTGAACCAGTCTATAGTCTAATCAATACTGGAGAAGGGTTCTTTTTTCCCTGCAGCCCTACCAGCATTTTTTTTTTTTTTCCCCAGAATCAGGGATTGAACTCAGGCCCTTGTGCCTGCCAGGGAAGTGCTTATTTGACTGAGCCATCTTCCCGGCCCCTGACCAGCATTTTTTATTGGTTGCTTTATTTATTTTTATTTATTTATTTTTTTATTGGTTGCTTTCTTGATAATACCTGAATCTTTCTTTTTTTTTTTTTTTCAAATACCTGAATCTTTCTGCAGTGAGATGGAATCTCAGCATTGTTTTAATTTGTATTTCTTGAATGTCCCATGATGAACATCTTTTCATATATTTATTTGTTCTTCATACTTCTTTATCTGAGCAGTTCCTATTCATTCCCAATGCCCATTTTTGGATTGAATCTTTGAATTTAGGGGCCTGACTTAAAATTTTGAGTGCTTTATATATTTTAGATATTAGTTCTTCATCCGAGAAACAGGTGGAAATTTTTTTTTTCACACATTGAGTTATCTCTTCACTCTGTTGGTTTTCCTTGCTATGCAAAATCCTTTTAATAAGATCAGATCCCCATTGTTGATTGTGATAGTTCCTGTGCAATCATTTTTTGTTCATAAAATCTTTGCCTACAGGAGTATTTTCAAAAGTTTAGCCTATTCTGTCTTCCAGTAAATTTAGTGTTTCTATTTTAATATTTAGAACTTTATCCATTTTGATTTTAGTTTAGTGGATGGTGAGAAATATGGGATCTAGTTTTAGTCTTCAATATGTGAAAAGGCAGTTTTTCTATCACCACTTATTAAAAAGGCTGGCTTTTTTCCAATAAAGGTGTTTAGTTTCTTGGTCAAAGATAAGATGGCTGAATATGTGTGGAGTTGTTTCTGTATCTTCTTCTTTTTTTTTTTTTTTTGTGGAACCCGGGGATTGAACTCAGGCCCTTGAGCTTCCCAGTGAAGCGCTTATTCCACTGAGCTATCTCCCCGGCCCCTTGTTTCTGTATCTTCTAATCAGTGCCTCTGATCTGTTATGTTTTTGGTATGGGGATTGAACTCTCCTTGCACTTGCCATGTAGACATTTATGCTGCTGATCTATGGTTGTTTTTTTTTTTTTTTTTTTTTTATCACAGTACCTTTACAGTACAGTTTTAAGTCAGGAATTGTGATGCCTCCTGCCTTCCCTTTGTTGCCAGAATTGCCTTTGTTATTCTAGGTTTCTTCTGGTTCCCAATGAATTTTAGGAGTGTTTTCTCTAATCCTGTGAGATATGCTATTGGCATTGATTAGGCTTTGCATTAAATTTGTATAACGATTTTGGATTTTAGTAACCATTTTTACTCTATTGGTTCTTCCTACTCAAGATCATAGGATATCTTTCCATTTTCTTTTTTGTCTTTTTGAGACATGGTGTAGCTGTGCAGGCCAGGGTGGCCTTGAGCTCACTTTATAGCCCAGGCTGGTCTCGAACTCCCAATGATACTCTTGCCTCAGCTTCCCAAGTGCTGGGACTATAGGCATGTGCCACCGTATCTGGCGTCATTCCATTTTCTGATATCCTTTCAAATTCCTTTTTCAGAGAACTGTAGTTTTGTTTCTTAGATAATTCTCTTCAATCTCCTTTTTCAAAGTACTGTAGTTTTTAATATAGAAGTCTTTTATTTCCTTCATTAGATTGATTCCTAGTTATTTCACTTGTTTGGATGTTATTGTGGAAGATATTGTTTTCCTAATTTCTTTTCTTTTTTTTTTTAATTTTATTTATTTATTTGTGTGTGGGGGGCAGCTCAGCCCACCAGGGAGCGGGGCTGGCTGGCATGTGGTGCTGGGGGATTGAACCGCCGGTCCTGTGCTTGGCTAAGCTTGTTCTAAGTAGGTGCTTTAGATCACTGAGCCATCTCACCAGCCCCCATGTTTTCCTAATTTCTCTATGAGTTTGTTATTTGTGTACAGGAAAGCTGTGGATTTTTATTTTCATTTTTAGGGAGATTGGGACTCAAACTCAGGACCTCATGCTTGCCAGGCAAGTACTGTGTCACAGAGCTAAATCTCCAGCCACTGGCT